ATGACTGGCTGGTTGTTAGTTCAGGGCGGTGCAAATGGGGCAAGATTCACGCTCGCGGAAGGCCCGTTTGCAGCAGGTACTGTCGCAAATCTGTGATAAAATGAATTTGCAAAGTCTGGCATTGCGTTATCACAATGCGGCAATGGCATATGCTGCGTAAGTTTTCTTCGTAAATTATCCGTAGTTTTATTTTTTTTATGGAAAGCAGTTGTTTCTTTGGAAAAAAAAAGCGTATTTCTTTTCGTAAATTAAGTTGTTTTTTCATCATTTGTTATATTCACAAGGGGATTTTTTTTAATCCTATTATTGATGGATTTTTCAAAATTTGAATTTTCTTACTCAGTACAGAAGCATCATAATGATGTACAGTTGTCTGTTTTTTCAAAAAATTTCTGACCACGCGATCGCTTCAACATACTCCTTTTCGAACACATTTTAAGAATTAGGGTTACTTCTCAAATTTATGACTTCCTTTGTAAATTTTTAAATGGTTCGAATCTAAGCGAATACGCGAATAAGAAACGAATAGCCGCCTGTAATTCCTCATATTTCTTTCCAGTCAACTAACTTTTGTCAGTGTTGAATTACGTCAGCTTTCTCTTTTCACAACTTTTTTTCTACCTTATCATTTTTTTAAGTTTTGCTTTTAATATATTCGCTTTGAAGTTCTTAAAAAGCCAGTATTTGAAGATTTATTTTTCCCTGTCGTTAACACTACTTGAACCTTTCCTGGAGCGAGTGGATGTTAAAGCAGCTGTGAATTTTAGTGGTTCAGTTTTGCTACTTAAAAGGGATTTATACTCCTTTTGAGTAGCAAAACTTGTTTGAGTTTGTTTGGATCATAGATTTAGGTACAGAGAAAAACAGTGCTTTTTAGGCAGTGCCTGGAAAGAAGATTCCATGACAGTCATAGCTGAGACGTTTTACTGTTGCCAGTTGTTTTTTTTTTTTTTTTTTTCATAAATAAGAGGTTTTCAGTCTCGAGAAGCCCTTATTGTAAACTAACTCTGCTAATAATATTTAATTTCCAATGTAAGTTTAGTATTCGTTTAAAACTGAGATTCATAGGAGATGAGGAGAATCTGTTCTCTAGCGGTAAGCTGATCGATTAGCTGCTTTTCGAAAATCGCTTCTGATATAGGATTAAATTTCAACTGAGCTTTCAGATACCAACTTTTGGTATCAAGACTTTATCTAAACATTTTCTAAAGATCGACTCTAGGACGGGTTTTGAACTTCAGAAATCACGGTAAATCCTAACGATCAGATTGTATCAAATTTGATTTCAGGCGTGCCGCTGACTACGATTTGCAGTATCGTTGTTTACTGTCGAAGCTACATTTCTCTGGTGATCAGCGTCTGAAAACAGCAATTGAACTGGTCCATGCGGCTGCAAACTTAAAAGATCAGCAGGCCCTGTGCGAATCGAGATTCATATTAGCCCAAGTTTGTTATTTCTTTCCTTTGTTTGTGGTGGTTGTTTTCTAAGAAGCGCATGAATTCAGTTGATTGCCACTTCAAAACAGTGCCTACAACTTATACGACTCAGTAGGTCGAAACATTCCTGTTCATTTGATTATATATATAAATATATATGTACATGTATATGTATATATACTGTATTTATGTACTTGTATCTGTAGTCGTGAGCGGAGCCTTTCTCGAAAGCTATTCTGGACCGGAAGGGAATCGAACCACTCCTCTTCACGTCCGGAAGCAATGTTTTGCCATTACATCACCGTTTCTTTATATATGTATGTATATGTAATGGTGAAGTCAGCCCGCAATGAAGCCATTATATATATGTATTCTGTTTCTGGCTTCACTTCATTTCACGATTTTAGTCACTAGCGAACAGTCTGTTGTGATTGACGATTTTGCTTGTAAGGAAGGGAATAAATAGATGAGGGAGGGAACTGTTGTAATACCATTTGTTGAAACTGGGCGCTGCTATGGAAGGGCAGGTATATAAAGTTTTTTTATGAAACTTGGTCTTACTTGCATGAAATGTGCTTTGTGGCGAAAAAGTCATTAAGATGCTTTCAAAAAGTCAGTATCTCTTCTTTTCGGTGGCTTATTAAGATTGTGCAAAAGAATCGCGTGGGATATTCTGAGAGTTGCTTTTTGAAGGAGAAAATCCGAGCTAAGGATTTTGTTGGCGCGAAATGGGACCTTATTTCGATGCTAGCTTCAGGAGAGCATGAAAAACTGGAGGAAGACGAGCGAAGTACTTTCTTCCAAATGCTGATTATGGGCAAGTTTTTCTTTCGTCATCCACGTCGTTCTACATCAATTTTTTTTGGAGCTGTTGCAGCTTGCTGTCTGTAATTCAACATTTCGATTCTATAGCTGTGCTTCCTTTTTGACTTCACTGTTGCCACCTGTTTTACATGAAAGTAAATAGAATGCCACGCTTGTAGAAGGGAAATTGGCAATGGCCCAGAGTTCTAAGGGGTGGTTCATAAAATATGAGCTCTGTGAAATTTGTGTAATTGACCTTTGATGTCTTATATTTTCGATTTTTCAGCATACAAAACGGTAGAGCGATTGAGAATGCTTTCAGCAAATACACACAGTCCTAACAAAATGAAGATTTGTGAGAAGATTGCTGACTGCTTGTATGAGGTTCGTTCGGCATAATACTTGTTTTTCTTTCAGTACTGTTAATTTGCCACGATGAATTTAAAGCACCGTTTTTCAACCAAGGATGAACGTGCTTCCTGTAGCATCTTAAAGTATAGCACTTTTTTGCTATTTTTTTTTCATAGGAATATTGATTTTTCCCCAAGTATCTTTGCATTTAACGTTTCAAGGTTGGTATGTTGAATACTAGCATTTCCCGGCTACGTTTTGGTTTTTACTACCCCCTTTTTCCAGTGATTTTTGCCTTTATCTTTCAATCAGTATATTGAGGACTTAATTATTTTCCTTTCATGTGGCATCTCTGCAGATTAAGTTAGATGCTTTTGGCCTTCTACCACTAATGGCTTGGCACATTCCTCAACGCCACGGGCATAACTTGTTGGCAAATAGTGCTGTTTTTGTGTTTAAAATCGAGGTCTCGACAGCACCGGTACAAAAACCAGTTCTTTTGCTTTGGTGGCAAACTGGTACTGATGCGCACCAAAGCGTCAAACGACATCAGTTTGTTTTTAAACAACTCTTGAAGGAGCAGTTCATCGAGAGCCTGTCATCTTAGGGGATGTTAAAAATCAAAAGGCCCACCTCCAGTTCTTCCTCACTCGTTCGTTGCAAGAATGGAGACGCCCTGGCTATTAAGTGCATCCGCTCTTGTTTGAGTGGATGCGGAAGAGATTTTGTATTTGAGATTTTGGTATCAGTACGCGAGATTTAAATATTTTGGGACACAGATAAGGTTAGGCAATGAATACAGAGGTACTAGGTGAATACGTGTGCAGTGAATTTTTTTTTTTTT